GCGAGGCGCCCCCGGCCGCGCGGGGCCTCCCCCACCGGCCGCGCGTCCGCTTGTCCCAGAGGCAGGCGCTTGTGCGCGGGAGGAGGCGGCCTGCGATGAGCAGTGGATCTTTTTTTTTTTTTTTCTTGGACAATCCGCTAATAACGACGTTTTCCATCCCGGGGAAGTCTTTGCTCCGGAATGGTGACGGTCGTGCTTCCGCTTGGAGGGCGATCTTGGGCTAGGCGTACGTATTCCTTAGGGGAAAAAGTGGATTGGGAAGGAGAAGCGGCTTGGAAATAGCGAACTTGATCGAAAAGTCTGTTGCTGTAGGTGTGAGGCGGAATGGATAGTCTAGGAGACAGGTCATAAAGTTGGAGTTGGAAAATACAAAGTTTCCACCAAAATAAATGCGGTATTGATTTGGGGCTTTGTGTCTGCAGAAGTACCTTGTTTATCGGAATTTGTCATTCTGACACCGAAACTAATACAAGGAAATACACTAGATGCTTTGTACTGATCGTGTCACACGAAACATAAATTCTGTTAGTCCTGCGAATGTTGACAGCGACTTACATCAGTAGGGAAGAAGAACCAGATTCCCCTTAAAATCGTGTTTGCCGGTCAGGCTAATCGCTAGGAGGGGACCTGTGGTAGAGCTGACCCAGCTCACCGACGGCAGCGTTGCGGTTTGCCACGTCCGCACCGAGCTGCGTTAGTGCCGGTTAGCGAACCTGTGCTGTCCGCCTCTTCTCTCGGCGAAGTCAGGGCCTCGCCTCTCTGCCTGGGGGATCCCTGGTGAGGCCGGTGGAAGTTTGCACAGGTTGATGGTGAGACACCGGCGACCCTTTGCCAGGGAAACTGGTTTTGTATGGTAAACGCTGGGAGTCTTCTAGTGAAAGCAGAACGTGTATGGTGCTTCGTTTAGTTTAGACGATGAACCCCTATTTTTAAGGTGATGTAGAACGTGTTTTGAATACTAATTCTTTTTTTTTTTTAATCATTTAATTTTAAAAGGCCGGGTACCGTGGCTCTCCGTGAAATCAGACGCTATCAAAAGTCCACCGAACTTTTGATCCGCAAACTTCCCTTCCAGCGTCTGGTGCGCGAAATTGCTCAGGACTTCAAAACAGATCTGCGCTTCCAGAGCGCTGCCATCGGTGCTTTGCAGGTGAGCTGAGCGTCGCGAGGGGAACCCCCTGTCCGGGCGGCGGTCTGGGGGCGGGGGGTCCCGGGGGTCCCCCGGCCTGGCGGGGGTCGGTGCTGTGAGTGCTGTCACAGCCAGAACCCCCCCAAAACCCCCAAAACCTGGAGACTGAAGGGAAGGGAGGGCTCCGCCTCCCACCCCCATTGGCCAGGCTGTTTCTAGGGTTAGCCCCAGCTCCGCCTGATTGGTGGGCGGCCGCGGTGGGCGTGGCCCCTGGGGGGGGGGCGCTGATATTGGGGGATGCGCCCCTCAGCCTTCCCTCGCTCAGAGTGAACCTGGTGATGCCCTACAGATACCATAGGCTAAAATAACGCAGTGGCAGGTCAGCAGCTCCTTACAAAGGCTATAAATGTGGGTTTTCTGGGGGGGTTGCTTTTCTTTTTGTTTGTTTGGGGTTTTTTGTTTGTGATTTGTTGTTGGTTTTTTTTTTGGTTTTTTTTGTAGTCCCCACCCCCCAAAGTAATTGCACTTGACGGAACAGTGCATCTTATTAAGATGCTTCACATAAATCTGTTTCCCCTGTCCTTGAGCTTTGTTAGAGGCTTTGCCTCTGAAAGCTGTGCAGTCTGAGAGGACAGCGTTGTCATGTCAAGCGTGTGTCCAAATGGAGGTCTTGATGTCCTCGAATGCTCTTGAAAGAAAAACAGCTCGATAGGCCACATCTAAACACGGTTAGGGAAAAAAGTGCTTTTCTATGATGTAGTTGATGCTAAACACATAAATTTTTAAAATATGTTATTAGTTAAATAAGTTATTTAGAGTATATCGAGGGCAAAATATTGATTGCTCTTTCTGCCCAGAATTCCTGCATCAAAGTTAGGTCCCCTCCAAGACTGTGTCCTTGTCGCAGGAACGTTTCCCTCTCGTGATAGAAATACACTCATGATTAAAGATAGGTCCTTACTGTTCTTTTAGCTGTTGAAAGATTGTTCCAGAACCTGTCTGCAATTGTAGAGTATCTGATATCCAGGCAAAATTGTCTTTTTCTGGTTAATGACTTCCACTTGATAGGGACCAAAGCATATGCCGTGAGATGCTCTAAACTTGAGCATGTGCTTAGCTTCAGAAGGTGGCTGCGTGCATTTGCAAAGTTGCTGCTTTTGCTTTTAGTTGTTGTTCTGTCTCACTGCTGTGAGTGATTGTGGTAGTTTTTAAACCTTGGTGTCTTTTTATCAGGAACTGCTTATTAAAATTTAGTCAGTGGTTGGTATGTTTTCAGAAGGCTGGTTTTGGATTAAGGAGTTGTTGGTATAGAACTTGTGCATGTACTATTCCCAGTGCTTCTTGCTTGCATATTTGCAAAAAAACCCTCATAACCCCTTTAGTGCCATGTTGTTCGCGCCAGCATGGCTTATTTGGTGAAGTGTCTTAACTTTTCACGTAGTGATTTAGCAAAACTGTGTTAGGGGAACTTATGGTAGCCATATCCTGCTGGATACGGAATGACTTACTAATACTACAGTCCTCATCTGCGGTAGTAAATATTTTTCTTTCTTTGTATTAAATGCTCTGTGTTTTTTAAACAGGAACTTTGAACTTAGTAAGTTGATTTTGCAGTTCCTGGTAACAAAATGGTTCACACAAGCTGTTCCCTTGTGTGAACTTCTAGAACGGTGGAGCTCAACCTCCTTTCTGTAAGCAAGCCCCGTCGTTTCTGCCTTCTCACCCCCACCGTGTGCTGTGTCCTGGTCCACGTACTGGTCTGATGTTGGCGTGCCGAGATGCTTCCTAGGAGATTGTTAGGTGTTAGAATTCTGTATCAACCCCAAAATGTGTAAATGGTTACCATTGCTGTGCTGGGCTTGATAGCGGCTAACTTAACGTGAGCCAGAAGCGTAATTAGGTCCAACGCAGCATCTGTCTAACCCAGAATCCTGTCTGCGGTGGTTGAGTAACGGAGAAAACACTGTGGTCAGGGTTGTGGTTTTCCCAAGATAGGGCTTGTCCTTTGCCCTGTCTTTGCCAAGTGCCGACCCTGTGATTCTCACAGGTGTGAGGTGAGCACCTTCTGTGATCGGGGGGACTGTGGTGTGTGCCCCAGATAGACGGGGGTGCTTAGGCAGGAAGAAAGTACAGGACTAGGACAAGTGTCTGATGGTAATTCTCAGAGTGCTGTCCTGGTTTTGGTGATTCCAGGAGTTCCTGAGTGAAAGATGATGTCGTCTTACATCTAATAATTCTCAGTAGGTTTTTTCTGCTGATTTTTGACTTTTGAATGAAGCCACCTCTTCAGTATCCTATGGCAAGGAGCTGTGTGCCCGAACTGTGTGCTGTGAAGGAATACCTGCTGCTCTTTTCCCTAGCACCTGCCAATTTCACTTGATGCTCAATAGCTCTTCCTCTGGAAGAGGCAGCAGACGAGTCATTCAAATAGCGTAACCCAGCCTTTAAAAAGAGAGGTTCCTAAAAAAACTAACCTTTTGATCAGATAACCCCTTATCTTGTGAGAGCCCTGTCAGAACGTTGGTTCAGTTGTGTTCTGGAAGACGTCTTCACCGAATGGCAATAGTATGCCACTTTGACATGGGATATTATTTGGTGGTTTATAAGAAAAAGGAGGCTTTTATTTTTTGAGAATCTAAGACTTTCGATGTTTGCAAGTAATAAAGACAGAAGCCTAAACTTAATGCCATGTTACATTGTACTTTGAATTATTGTTATGTTTTTCCTAGTGCTCAGAGACTGAAAGTGCTCTTTAACTCTTCTCTTTTTCACTAGGAGGCAAGTGAAGCCTACTTGGTTGGCCTGTTTGAAGATACCAACCTGTGTGCTATCCATGCCAAACGTGTCACAATCATGCCAAAAGATATCCAGCTAGCACGCCGCATACGTGGAGAGCGTGCCTAAACTTCACTATGATGGGTTTGTCATTCTCAAAGCAAAATCTTCTTCCTGTTATCGGTAGTAATGAACGTTAGATATTTTTTCCATGGGGTTAAAAGGTACCTGAATATATGGTTGCAAATGGAAAAATAGGGGACAGAATTGGGTATTGGCAAGTTTTTTTCCATTTTCATTTGTGTGTGGATTTTTAATATAAACGAGGGGACATAAAACATCAATGCGGTCAAAAAAATGTTTCAGTGAACAAGTTTGAACAATTCAACTTTATAAAAAAAAAAAAATTATAAATAAACCTGTCAAATTTTTCTGGACAATGCCAGCATTTGGATTTTTTTAAACAAGTAAATTTCTTATCAATGGCAACTAAATGGTGTTTGTAGCATTTTTATCATACAGTAGATTCCATCCATTCACTATACTTTTCTAACTGAGTTGTCCTACATGCAAGTACATGTTTTTAATGTTGTCTGTCTTCTGTGCTGTTCCTGTAAGTTTGCTATTAAAATACATTAAATGATACCTGCTTTTAGTCTTGATTTTTAAATGCTACACGTGGGTTATATTTGATTAAAAAGTAATCAGCCTTCCCTTCCCTTTTTCTCTTCAATATATGACCTAAATACTTTACAGCAGATCTAGGAAACAAACACTGGGGATACTACCTTGGCTGACGTGTAGTGTATATGTGAGGGTTTTTTAAGAGTGTAAAATTTCTGTCCGCTCTGCCTGAAAGCAAGTTTGGTGAGTATATTACCGGGTAGAGTCTGGAACTGGACGAGCTCTCTAACTAAGCTATAGTGCTAAGAAAAAGCAGTTTCCTTGCTGTTTAGGTTCCTTTCTTCTTTGACTTAATGCTTAATTTGAAAGCATTTCTGATTTTCGTGGTTTGCTAGTACGGTATAAGTGGTGGGGTGTGGTGGTTTTGGGTTTTTTCTGGTGTGTTTTGGGTTTTTTTTTATTTTTTGTTTAAACCCTTTTGCACTCTATTATCTGGTTTCTTGGTTTGTAGGTGTTCACTTTTTGCTTGACTACCTTTCTGTTTCAATCACACCCTCTAGCATGTTAGAGAGCTTAGTCCACGTGTGATTAGTTTCAGATTGTACACTCCAGTCAAAAAGACACTTTTATACCATTTCTGTTAGTTACGGTACTTCATAGAAGCAGTACTTAGACAGGAGCACACATTTGAAACTTACTGGGTTTTTTTTATATTCCCCACCCAATTGCTGAGGACAGTTCCTGTGAAGACATCTACTGCTGAAATTACATTCTGTAAAAACTTTTATTTTAATTTTCCACCTGAAACTTGGTTAAGGATTCCGATGGACCGGTCTGGAAATGAGTTACATGGTGTGCTTTTTGATAGCTCTTGCAGATAACAAAATGAGTTACAGAGAAGAAAATATGTAGGCACAGTGAACAGATTTCCCCTCTATGCTAAGACCCCTACAGAGCTTATTTGCTGCTAACTTCTTTCGAGAGGTACTGAGTGAGCTCTAAACACATGAGTGAATTTGTCTGAAGATTTCCAAAGAGGATTAATAGAGATGTATTATCTGCTTTGGTATCTCGAACAGAGAGACAAAAATTATAGAATAAATCACATTATTCATAACTTGCTCGGCCCTAGTAATGAATGCTGTCTGCCGGGGTTGTGCAGAGTAAAGTCTATTTAAATGGAGTAGCTTGTCACAGAGAAAACTAATGCTGGGCAAAATGCGATCACATCCTTTTAATGCCAAGGAGTTCATAGGTATCAACTAAAAATTAAGGAAGACTTGTCTTGGAGCATCCAGAACAACAGAAATATAAAACGTGATCAACTGAGACTTGGCTGATTTGAGGTGTCACTTCTGTCTACTTGGTAATAACCCTGTTAAACTTGCTATAAATGCCCTTGTTTTGCCCTGTACTTCAGAATTCTGTTTCACGCGTCGGTCAACAGTGCTGCAACCACCTACACAAAAAGGTAATTAGGCTGATTTTTCTTTTTTTTTGGTAACGTGGAACTGAAGTATTGATAAAGGAACTTAATTTTTTCTTTCTTATGTATATTAGAAAACCAAATTTAGAGATTTTGGTACTCAAATGAAATACCAAGTTCTTTTAAAAGAGGGAATTGGGGTGAGGAATACCACGACAATGCAGTTAAACTGTTGAAGGCAGAAGAATTCATAATGGAAGACAAAGGGATCAGGAGTGTATGCAGTTGACAACATTTAAGTGTGCAGTGCTACACCTACAGCTTGGGGATAAACTTTTGCCTCTTTGAGAGTGTTGGTTATGACGGTTGTGGTCCTAGAGACGCCAGGTGAATCCTGCTAGGGATTAGCTGTCTGTGTATTGATACAGAGTGCTCTCTTGTTTTTTATTCCTGAGGAATCTTAGGGCACCACCTCTCTGCTCCTCATTCGTTTTTTCAAGTATAATGGATTTTCATTAACAGATACTTCTACTGTATTGCTGAACAGATTACTTAATCTCTAGCTTTTTCACCCCCCTGCCCGAGTATACTACATTTTTGTCTTTAATGTGCAGCAGCATGAAAAGAAAGCTGATGATTTAATTGCTTTTAAATAAGAACTGCTTCTTTAAAAATAATATTTTGCCAGAATGGTCAGGTGTGCCGGTCCAGTTTTGGATGGATCTTCTAGTTGATGCTGTACACTGTTAATGGAAGAAAGGGAATACAAAAGATGATGCTGCTTTTTTTTTTTTTTTTTGATGCTGAGAGTTTAGTTATTTGGGGTTATATTTTTCCAGCAGGTTTTAGAAGCTATCTGTCTAAATATTGTCGGCATAACTCATCCAGAGTTGACAGTTCACTTGTACCTGGGAGTCTCTCGAAGACGTGCTCTGCAGTACAGAAAGAGCAAAACAAAAAGGTGGGGATTGGTGTTAATACAAAAGCTGCTGCGGAGGAGGAGCAAGACCATCTACAGTTCCTGTTTAATCAACTTTTTTGCTTGTGTAGTAGCATTCCTACAAAAGCGTTTTTGAAAAGTGGTGGAGGGACAGGAGGACTATGGAGCACTCAGGATCCACAGTTAGGGCACACATGGATCATTAGAGAAGGTAGGATACAGCAAATTATTTAGAGTTAAGTTTTAAGCTGCAGATACTGTGATGCTGGCGCTCCTTTCCTTCGGTCACTTTGGGATTACGGGTTCCTCTCTGGGATGAAGAAGAGGGGCAAACAAAATGGCTCTGATCCAGTTACGTGCAGTGGTGTGGCTTAAAAATAACTGAAGAATTGTGTTCTGATCAATGCAATTTCCCCATTTCACGTGTTGCCACGTGTCCGTCGTGCTGTTTGGAGTGAGCGATAGCTGCTGGTGGCCCCGTTAGCTGTCTGCGTATGCAGGTTTGGGCATCACCTAAGAAGCAGCAGTCCAAAGTCTGCAGGCATTTCCCAAATAGGCGTTGCAGCTTCTTGCCTTGCTCTCCGTTGCCTGGGCTGCTTCCTCTGGAGCCGGCAGGTGGGAACGGAGTCACGCGGGGAGTTGGTGGGTTATCGTCCTCTAGGTCAGCTAGAACATTTTATTGCTCTTGGGTGCCCTAAATGTTCTTTTGATAAAACGAGGGGTGGTCCTCTTGGAACTGTATATGCCTGCTTGTTGGGTGAGGTGATTTTTGAGGAAACTATTGACAAACAAATATTAATGGATTTAAAATAACTTAAGGGTTTGGTTTTGGTTTTTGTTTCGTTTTGGTTTTTTTTCCCAGGGAAGCACACTTTTTTCCTCAGCCAGTTTTGCAAGCACTGTTTAAAGTCTTACAAGATTTTTAGTATTTACAGTTGCCATGTATCGAATACATTGTAATATTTAAAAATGTAAATTCCAATTAACTTGTGGTGTTTGGGAGTTGTGGGGAAGGGGAATACCATCAAATTTGAATGTGGGCTAATTTAACAGTGACAGAAAAAGAAATCTGCTTAAGTCACATATGCTGCATTCTCTGCAAAAAAAAAATATTACGGTTTATATGCACAACAGAAGTAATACTGATTTAAACCATTCTCATTCTGTGGAAGAAATGACTTCAGGTTCCTCTTTCACCTTTAAAAAAAAAAAAAAAGTAGGCTGAACTTCAGTTCCTAAAATAGTTTACCTCTTTTTTTCCCCATAGCAATTCTGCTATTGCCTGGGCAATTCAGTTTCAGCTGAGATTTTGAATACTAGAAACAAGTTGTGGTCATGTGGAGGTCCTGCTGGGGAGGAGTTTAGCTGTACTGGGTGGAGGGATGGATGTGACGTGGCTCCTTGCTTGCTAGTGACGAACACGTTGAAAGGCTGACATCTGTTTAAAGCATATTGTTGCACATATGTCTGCATTTCAATTTCTGAATAACTTTGTGAAGTCCTTTAACGTGTATGTGATAAGCTGGTTTTTAGATCTTTGTTTTAGATTTGTATGTTAACAGCTGTATTTACTCACTTCTTTCTCAAGAGTAAATACAAAACCTTATTTTTTCTTAAGTTGGATGCTTTGTATTAGCAACACAAAAAGCAAGCTTGCCTACCAGAGCCAAAAATGAAATGTTCTGGGAAATAACCCCAGACTTGAGATCAGTCTCTTCTGTGTGGCTGTATCAAATTCAACTGGTAGTTCTTGAGAGCTTGATTAACATGGAGCTTAAACCCAGCATTTCAGTTTTGGTTTAGAAAAGTAACTTGCTGAATATATGTTTATGTTTAAGCGATGCATCGCTGAGCTGGGTTCATCCAGCCCTTTATCCCATCTGGCATTAGCTACTAAGTGATGCCACTGTCCAGGGACCAGATGCATTAATGCCTGCTCTATGGCAGGTTGTAGCACCTACTTGAAATCAGTAATGCCATCTTGTTCAAGAAGGAGAGTAAATGCAACTATTTCTGCTAAAATAACTGCTCACTAACAGTCTCTCACACTGAGGGATTTTTGGGATGCATTTTGTAATTTGGGATTACTGTCCCAGGACATGCATTCTTGCCCTCTGACTTCCATGGGGATTTGTGACCACTTAGTGGCTTGAATCCACTTTTTTATGTGGCTGAAACCAGCGTCTCTCACGCACATGCTTCATGTGCCACCGTTTTTGGCCAATTAGCCAAATAATTTGACTTGGTATATCTGCTTGATCTGAAGCCGTAGAGCAGGCAAGAGAGTAGGACTACCCATTTCCCTAGCACTATACAGTTTAGGTTCAGTTTCACAATACGCTTAATCGAAACATATGCTTCTGCTACCATTCTAATACCAGCTTTTCCTGCCACACTTGCCTCTCTTGAGACTCCGTGATGGGTTACTTCAGTTTATCTTCTGGAGCTTAATTTTAAATTCAAGGTTTAGTGAAGTACAGGGAGTGTTCAGATCAAAGATGTTGATTGCATTGTTTACTGCAATTTTGTTTCTTACTATAGCAAGCAAACACATGCAACTTTTCTTGGGCTTCATAATGAGTAAGGAGTTAAAAATCCTTTTCATATAACTTGACTTCAAAGGCTTGAATTCAGAGGAGGAATTCTAGCGTCAGG